AATGAAGAGGATTTCCCTCGATGTTTTAGGCTAATGGAGTTGACAGGATCAGCTGCGAGCTGTGCTCCACAATGCTACTTCTGATAAAGGCATAATGTTTACAATTAAAAGTTCAAGCATGGGTTTATTTTGTCATTTAGGATAATAACTTATGATAATGGCTTACTAATTAGAGTATGCTTTTAAAATAAAAGTTCATTGAAAGAATTCTGAGAAAGATTAAGATTGACGCAGAGAAGCATGAAAATGCAAACAGATTATACTAGCCGACACACACAACAAGAAGGCAGTAAAACAAGTATCTAACGGTGTGTGTGGCCTGCTCCTTGGTATGACAGACGGATTGGGGGAGTGAAACTGTGGCCCCTTCTAGTGCTGCTGGTCTATATCCTGTGGTCAAACTGTTTGAAAGTGAAGATATCGTTGGGATTCTGGGGGTTTCTATTTGTTAACACAACTGTGCTCTAAATGGAGGATTAAAATTATGAGTAAGGTGATTTTTCTTGGGGCAATTAAAAAATAGTGCATTTTTCACTTTGATTGTTTGTTGTTTGTTGTCTTTTTTCTGTTTGTGCCCTCGGCCGGCCCCGCCACAGTAGCGCTCCATTAATCACGTAATGAATTGTTACACGTAACAAGTCATGTTTGAAATTGATATGGTTGTGGTTGGTGTGTGTGTGTGTGTGTGTGTGTGTGTGTGTGTGTGTTTGGGGGTTCGGTGCAGCCAGCTGTACAAACAGAGTCTGGATGACTCATGAACCCACCTGTGAGTTACTAATAGTCCGAAATCACAGTGGACCCACTGTGATTTTGTAACTCAGAGTCACTGATAAAGCACTGCAACAAAGCCTGATAAATATACAGTACAAAGAGGCAGGTGGGTGGTCTCTTATACAGACAGATAGGTAGTCTTGGCCTGCGCTCCATCGTAAGAATCTGTTGTCAATTTCTTATCACTCTGTATATGTAACTATATAAATGCACATCTGACAGCAACTTCTGCGCTAAAATAATATTTTTGCACTGACTAAACTTTTGATTATTGTGTAACTATAACAGTGCAGAGAGAAATGTGAGGAGATAAAGCATATAAGGGAAGGAAAAGAAGCAAATCCACAGCTAGACTGTTTTGCGATAAAAAATCTGAAGATGTTTTCCAGATATTCTGCTTAGTTCATAGCTAAATAGATAAACAATGACCAAAAAAGGGCTTTTAGTTTTACTACAAGAGTTTTAACTTCATACTGTAAAAATATTTTCCCAGGACCTTCGTGTTTTGCCTTTGTTTGTTAATATATTTATTTATTCCAGATTCTGCTCTTTAATTCTGCTGTGATCTTCTTTGAAGTCGTGCCCGTGCGCTCTGAGAGCTGTTCTGTCATCAGCTGCAGGTGTTTACAGCAGTTAGCTGTATTCTAGTTGTTTCAAGATATTGTGGGAAAAAAATAGAAAATACTGTACAGGGATTGTTGATAGCAGCATGAAAGCAGCAGTTCAATTTGCAGATTTTTAAAAATCGATTATTAAATCACATTTTCTGATGATGCAGCCAAAAATATAATGGACCACATGATGGCAGAATGGGACTGCATAAACGAGTAATCAATTTTTTTGTGTCCATTCACTATTACGTGACCATGTGATGTATCTCAAATTACCACAATATTGTTAGCTTCCAAATTACATTTGAACTCTTTCACCCAACAAATATGTACTTTTGTGAAGAACAATAAAAATAGTAGTTTAATTTGTAACATTTTTAAAACTTATTTTAACATTTTTTTTTTAATTATTTGGAAACCATAAAACTAAAAATAAAAACATAATGGGTCTTTAATATCTTTAGATAGACCTGACATTATACATGTGAAAACACATTTGCCAGCCACTATATTAGGTACATTATTTCAACTACTACTTAACACAAATATCTAAGCCAATCACATGGCAGCAACTTAATGCATTTAGATATAACAACATAGTCAAGACGACCTGCTAAATTTCAAAATGTGCATCATAATAGCTAAAATATTTATTGATTTGATTTAAATGATTTTGAATGAGACTTGGTTGTTGGTCTGAGTATTTCAGTTACTACAGATCTACTGGGAATTTCAAACACAACCATCTCTAGGTTGTGCAGGGAATGGTTTGAAAAAGAGAATATTCACTGATCAACAGTTCTCTGTGTGAAAAAGGTCCTACCAAAGGGTACCTTAGAAAAGTGTTCAACAAGCATACGCAAATATTAACACTAGACCTTTGTAACTTTACTTCAGGCTTCAAAAGCAACTTAAGCAGTCTTGTTAAAAACTACTAATATGCTCTAAATACTGAATCATCATCAGAACACATGTTTAATAAGAGCTGAATTTATTGCACTGTAACTTTTTTCTCCTTCTTCACTTACACAAAAAGGAATCTCTTTTAATTCTTCTTGTCTCAATACATCACAAATAATTTAACGAAAATCCACGTGGATCCTACAGATTCAGAAAGAGCACACATTACTTATTGACAATTACAAAAGGCATGGTGGTTTATTGTAAACACATTAATAAGACATTCACTGACTGCTTTACAAGTCTATGCTCTGATGACAAAAATGGGGAAAAAAAACATTGAAAAAAAATCAAATAAAACCATTACCAACAAGACAAAAAACAAACAAACAAACAAACAAACATTGTGTTCCTTTTGCTTCCTGTTCTAGTACAACACCTTATTAACACATTGAGGCAATGAAGGTATTCTTGTGGCAAGAAGCACTTCTGTGTACTGTGTTACTGTACTGTAACAACTGGAAAGCTCGTCAAAAGTCACAACCACTGGCTTTTGACTCGTCTGACTTTGTTGTCCATGATCTGTCTGATGTAATTCCCAGATTTTTTTAACAAGAATATTTACAGATGTAAAAAAACAATCCAAAAACCAAAGCATTTGCTTAAGCAAGAGCAAATGGTACAGAATTATAAATACGTAAAAGTTCACTATCTTACAAAACCTTAAAAAAAATGCAACAGCTTTTTATAGGAAATACCAAGAGGCGTCAGCTTTCCCTGCAGAGTTGGATCTGA